TTTTTGTGAATCTATAAAAGCTTCCACTTATTCTCAAAAGATGAACCGGTGGTTTCTTGTTTGAAATACTCCTTTAGTATTTTGTCCACAAAGGTAAAGATATTTATAAACATGGCACAAAATTATTTTATAGAATTCTGACTACTGTTTAAGTGTGGATTAGGCCACATTATGAATTTTTCATTTGCTTTTGTTCAAGCAGCTACTTTAAATATTCTAGTATATCTTCAAGAACTAGAACCCAGACTGTAATACTACAACATGAGCATTACTTATATCCAGAAAAATCTTAATTTACACTTTTAGTTTAAAATATGATATAAACCCTACTTCTTATATAGTTTCTGAAGGAAAAATGAAAGAATTCATTTCATGCTAACGTTAGTCCCCACGTTCGGGAGGCAGAGGTTGGTAGATATCTGTCAAATTAAGGCCAGTCTGGTCTATCTAGTGAGTTTGAGGCTAACTGAGGATGCAGGGAGACCCTGTCTCAAAAAAAGAAAAGAAAAAAAAATAAAAAGGGAAAAAAAGATAGAGCAGAGTGTGGTGGCGCAGGCCTTTAATCCCAGTACTTGGGAGGCAGAGGCAGGCAGATCTCTGTGAGACTGAGGTCAGCCTGGTCTATGTAATGAGTTCCAGGCCAGCTGGGGCTATAGGAAACCCTGTCTCAAAAAGACCAAAAAGAAGGGGAAAACATAATTTTCCTTCTTGACTTATGTTAAATTTTTTCCTTCATCATACTTGTTCAAAATATTATATGATGGAAATTTTTTATGACCACCTCAAAGGTAAAGAACGGTCTTTCTCTATACATTGTTAGTTGTTGCAATAGCACAAGGTCTGGAGGAGAAGATAATATGACTTATTTTTCTTTCTATTCAAGGTAGACTTCAACCCGCCTCACTTAACCAAAAACCATCATAATGCTAGAGGCATTTGCTGAATCTTGTAATTTTCCTGTTGAGGTGTTAAGCACTAGTGCAAGATAGTATTATTTTACTTTTATTGGAACTTTCTTTGAGAGGAAGGAACATCTGAACTCCACGGTCTTTACAGCCCTTTAGACTCACTGGAAAATGCTTTCAAAGGCTGGTTGGCAGGTTCATTTGCCCCAGAATCAGTAAAAACTAATATTCTGATGCAGTGATAATGTTGGCAGTGGTGATTTTTAACCATGGCGCATAGTAGGTTGTTTTCATCTGCCCTTATTCTTTAAATCATGAAAAATTTCCAATTGTATAATAAACTTTAGGATATTAACCTCAGGGAGTCTGTCATGGCACCAGTGCTATTTACGCTCCGTTTTTTTTTTTTTTTTTTTTTCCGGTGGCAAAACCCTGAATTACTTCAAATGATTTCACTAAAAAATTATAACCAGGTATCTGGTGACTTTTTTTTTCAAGAGACCAAAGTTTGGAAAAGAAGGAGAAAGTACCATAGGTCTCTCTTCTGCCTTATTCTCTGTCTGAGCTTATTTATCAAGTTCCTTGGGTATTTTAGCCATTTTTCCCCAGTAAGGGAATTGCGCTAGTATTGAACTGTGCCACACTAAGAAATCACACATCTGTGTTGAGACTGTCTTTCATTACTCATCTTATTGCAGGAATACTTGGTACTGGTTTTTCTGCAAAGACAGTTGGATTCTCACTTGTGTAACTTCCTTCACTTCAACATATGAGTCATAACCCAATTGTATTTGCTGCATATGTGTCCATTTTAATTTAACATACTGTGGAATAACTGGTCATAGTGTGCTAGATCTGTGAATGACTGTGAGTGAATAGAAGCACTTGCTTGACCAGAGATTTGTTTACCAGGAGTTTGGCCTTGAATTTTTAAGGATTTTATAATTGAAATTCAAAACATTAAGCTTTAAATATATTAAGAGATGTAGGTTGCAAATCTTGTTTAGTTTAATAGACATTTAGTCATTTTAATTGTTCTTTCCATCTTTGTTCCACTCTACATCAAAAAAAAAAAAAAGCGTGTTTAGGTTAAGAATTTGGTTAGTTTTTGGCAAATAGAGCTCTTCCAGGACCTATTACACCCTGTTGTTATTATGAGTCTCATGAGACGATAAGAAGGCTGAATTTTCCCTCAAAAAACAAGAAATACTCTGGGATTCAAGCACAACACCAGTTCAGTTTAGTTTGTTATTAAGACTTGAAGCCCTGTGAGGTGGCTCAGTGGGTAATGGTGCTTGCCACCAAGGCTGATGACCTCAGTTTGAGCCCTAGAACCCACATGGTAGGAGAACTGACCTCCTGCAAATTATCCTCTAACCTCCAGATGTGTACTGTGGCACACAGGGCCTCACACAATAAATAAGTAATAAATAAATAAATAATAAATAATTAGTTAAACAAAAACTTTAAGACTTGGTTGGTGAAAATTAACAATTTTTAGTTGGTAAGTCCTTCTGGAAAAATAAACTATTTCTAGTACTGATAGATTATAGATACATAAAACTGTTGAATTTTTAAATTTTATTTAAATTTTTTATGTGTATGAGTGTTATGCCTGAATGCTTGTAAGTGCACCCATGTCCTGCAGTGCCTGGGGAGGATAGAGGAGAACATCAGATCCCCCAAACTAGAGTTATGGACAGTTGTTAGCTGGAATTTGTACCCGGGTCCCCTGCAAGAACAGCCAGTGCTCTTAACCACTGAACCATCTCTCCAGCCAAACTGTTGAATTTTTAAAACTTGTTTTTAATAATGTTATATTTAGAGAGCCAATAAACAGTTTTCTAAACTGTATTAAAACTTAAATTGCTTTTTTAAGCAATTTGAAAATTGCTAAAAAAATTTTAAGTTCTTGCAGAGGACCCTGGTTTGATTTCCAGCATCCACATGGCCGCTCAGAACCATCCTTAACTCTAGCTCCAAGGGAATCAGATGTCCTCTTCTGACCTCCATGGTGTTACATGAGATGGGTGCACTCACATACCTGCAGACAATACACTTATACACAAAAAATAAAAATAATGAACAAAATATTTTTTAAAAGATTTTTGTTTATTCTGGCTTATTTCAAGTAATTCCAGTGTTCATTCAGCAAACAGATTGATCAAGTAAACTCCATATGTCACGTCTTCTAGGTGAAGATTCTGGTGGTACTGCTCCATAGTACTCACAGGAAGAGCTAGGTACTGTAAAATTAGTAAAATAAAAATTATCATGCGTTGATGAATACATGTCAAAATCCTAAAACTTTTGAAAGGAAAAGATCATTGATGATGATTTTGTACAATCTTTTCATCTTTACCACATAAATAAATTTGATGTGTTTTTATGAAGTTCTATTCCTAGTAGAATTCATAAAACAGAATGAAAATTATTATAACATATTTGGACTTAATAAAAACTCTAGATTTATTTTTTCTTTCTTTTTTAATATTTTATTTATTATTATTTTTATTTCATTTGTATGCATGTTATTGCCTACATATATGTAAGTGCACCCGTGTCATGCAATGCCCACAGAGGACAGGAGAGGCCATTGGCTCCCCTGGAACTGGAGTTACTGGACAGTTGTTAGTCCCTATGTGGGTGCTGGGGTTCAAACCTGGGTCTTCTGCAAGAACAACTAGTGTACTTAACTGCTGAGCCATCTCTCCAGCTCCTTTTCTGTCTCTTTCAAGAGAAATGAATTGTCAATTAGGAAGTTGAATTGATCATTGTCATTAGCTGTTACATTTTATATGATGTATATCTGAGTTTTAAAAATGCCTTTTTTAGTGAGTGATTATGCAGAAAATTGCTGTCTCTGGTAATGACTTAGACTGTTCAGTATTTTACTAAAAGAGGCTGTCTCGTTTGTTTCACTCTGTTCAGAAAAGGAAGACCAGTGTCTCGTCCCTGAAGCCTGGAATGTGGACCAGGGAGTAATTACCAAACTCAAGGAACAATACAAAAAGGAGAGAAAGGGGAAAAAAGGGGTGAAGAGTAAGTGGAAAACACTGCATCTATAAATCATGAATCTTGCATCTTTTACATTTCCCAAGTTTTTTTTCAGTGTTTTCTTAAAGCTGCTTACTCTCTTTCATTTCTGCTCCTGACTCTTTCCTTCTTACTTACTCTCAGTGGTTGGAAGTAAATGGTTAGCTGTTTAACTATGAACTGAAGGAAGATCATTCATAAATATATAATTATAATGAAAATTTAGCACCTTATAATATGTTGGCCTATGTATTTAAACATGCTGATGAGTTGACTTTGAAGGTGTATGTGCTTAGTCACAAGGAGATTTGCTTCCAGTGGCAATTTTATAGGTCTCATTTAACTTGATCTTCTGACAGTCCACTAAAGTTGTTGCTTATAATCTAAGATCTTGAGACTAAAACAAGGTAATTTCTACCCTTGAAACTTCTGTATGTTCACAACACAGAGTTCATTTGCTCTCATCACGGTATGTTATACAGGGTACAGAGTCAAATATGTAATTTTTAAAGTGTTTCCTAGCAGAAAGGTTTTGGCTAGTTAATTTATGGCAATTTATCAATTACCTTTTCCTCCCTTTTCAATAAAATACATGCTACCTCAGAAATAGAAGCCCAAATGAAATGTACAGCTCTGTGATAGAAGCCCAAATGAAATGTACAGCTCTGTGAATCCTATAATTCATTATGAAAATGAAAAGTTTGACAATAGATCTAGTTAAGTATGTAAAATGGAAATATAAAAACTTTGAAAACCTTGGTTAAAAAAATAATAAACACATTTTTAGGGATTGGAGGTGTAGCTCAGTTCATAGAGTGCTTCCCTAACATGAACAATTCCCTGGGTTTGATCCCTAGTACCGCATAACCCGGTTGGAGTGGCACATATCTGTAATCCCTAAACTCTGGAGGTATAGACAGGATCAAAAGTGTAGGGCCATCTTCAGTTAATAGTTGAGTTAGAGGCTAGCTTGGGATGCATGATACCCTGTCTCAAAAACAAAACATTTTTTTAGGAGAATAAAATTAGACTACCTTCTTGTGCTTCTCCTCCCACTGGCATAATAAACATGGCCTTCCCTTTTTATAATAGGACTCTCATCCTTTGAGATGTGAAAGTAGTTCAAAGTGAGACTGACATTTAAACTTAGTAGAAATGCTTTTTATAAGTTGCCAAACACTGGAAGGATATACTTTATCCTCCCTTTACTTTTTAATTATGTTAAAACATACCAAAACCAATCATTCCTGTTCAGGCATTGTTTTACATTCTTGTAATTATCTAAAAACATCTAAATATTTATTTTAAATGTCTTAGAATTTACAGATTCTTGATGCAGTAAGAAGTCTTTGCCCATTATTGATGTTTGCAGTCATAACATTACTAGGAGATGATATCATTTAATGTTACCTCACAATAGATTAAATCAAAGAAAGATTAATGTTGAGACATAACATTTCATATCTTTATTCAGATATACTGAAAACTTAGCAAATACATTGGGATATGAATTGTCATGGCTTAGAGGCAATAAAAATATTTTGAGGAAAATTTACGTATTATACATTAGAAATAAGTTCCAGATTAAGGTTGACTATATTTTTTGGGGTCATTATTCTATATCTTGGAACGTAAAGATCTTTTTATTGGAAAAGTAGCCAAGATTTGTGTGGAGTTCATCTACTCTCATATTTGTAGTTAGAAGTTAGCACTTAAGATCTAAATCTGCACCATTTGACTGGAACAGTATTCCTACTAGTAGAAGCGTTTGGATTTCCTGCACCTGGGGATTAAGACTCATGTTTAGGTACATAGCACGTGGGTTTTTTTAAGTGCAGTAGAGAAATGCTACTCTTCAGGGGAGAAACTTTAATCTCTTTCTCTGAGGATGGGAAATGTAGACTGAAATTCAGCACACTTTACCACTTTTAAATGTTATTTTCTCAAAACAGCAGTGTGGAAACAAGTGAGGAGTTATGATAAAAAGAAAAATGAAGCAAAGCTTTGGATTGCTATAGGAAGCATTAATTAAAAAGCTGCAATAAGTATATTTTTAATTGAACTGGTGCTCAGAAAAATTTTAGTCCTTTTAATTGGTTCAGTGTAAGTATTTCCAGTCAAATTGTGTACTCCAGGCTACTATCTTGAATTTTTTTCTAGGTATTCAATAAGATTGCTTAGAAATAGTTGTATTCTTTGCTGGTATAGGAAAAAACCATAATGGACTATGGGTAAGATTTTCCCATTCTTAATTAAACTTATAACAGGAAAAACTACCGAAGATCTGTTTCAGCCTCTATCCTATATAAAACAGTCAAAACAGGGATGTGAGAGAATGAAGAATCAAAGCTCAGGTAAGTAATCAGTAGGGCATGAGACTTCACTTTGGGTGCTTCAGGATTCAAGGCAATGAATGTAACTTAGACAAGCAAGGTTGTTACTGTTTAATTCAGTTCACAGTTGGTTCATGATCTGTCCTATCTGTCTTCATTTAGAGCACTAGTCAATGGTTTCATTATAGATAAATATGGCTTTTAATGATCCGTGTTGGACATAACATTCTTTTTCATATAGTGATGCCATTAACTTAATTTATAAAATATTTGTAAATATAATTCTTTTCTAGAAATAATAAACTTTAACATAACTTAAAAACTTTGAAAATAACTACTTCTCATTGATCAATCTAGTAGGATATTTTTAAATGTAAATAGTGATGTGAAAAGGTTTATGATACAATTTTGATGAAACGAATAATTCTATTCCCTTTTTTCCCCCCTTAATCCCCTCCCCCCCACCCCCTTTTTTTTTTTTTGACTAGGGCCCAATAGGTCAAAACTACAAGATATGCTTGCTAATTTGAGAGATGTTGATGAACTTCCTTCATTGCAGCCATCCGTCGGTTCACCTTCCAGACCTAGCAGCTCCAGACTTCCTGAACATGAAATTAATAGGGCAGATGAAGGTAAGCCTTAAGATACTCTGAAACCTAGAAAATATGTAGGCATGAAGCTCTAAATTCCATCATCAGAAAGGAATCACCTATCTTTAAGAATATTTTACTCTGCACATATTTGAGCTATATAATATTCCTTGAATGTAGGCTTTCTTAATTCATTCTGGGTTGAATTCATTCATTACGATTTGGGAAACTATATAAACTTAAAAACCAACTCTTAAGTTCTGATCTAGACTATCCCGTAGCTCCATTGACAACCAAGCAGTAATAGGCACTATACCTTTCCAACATTGAGAAAATTGAGCCTAAAAAATTGGTACTAAATGTTTATTTTGAAAATCAACATAAATACCTAATTTGTCATTGATTTTGAAAAGGAGGGAAAGTCACCTGTTTGCATATTTTTTGCTTCCTGTTTCCCTGTTCCCTTTCAAAAGTCTTTGTTCACATGCATGTACTTGTTTTAACTAGTTACAGTCATCATGTAGAATAGTTCTGTTTTGCTTTATACATAACATAAAATCATATATACTGATAATTTTCAAGCTTATAGCTTTAATGTTATATATTACATTTTAGATTTGAAATAAAACCATTCCTCTTTTGAATATTTTTGTTTCCAGTTTTTCACAGTGGACTTGTAAGGCATATAAATACAAGTTTTTCAGGGTTGGCAGAGCATCTGCCTGTAAAGCACAAATAGAACTATGCCTAGTTCTATCCTCAGCACTGGGGTAAGAGGGGTGAGTTAAGGTGGGGGGAGAATATTAGTATATTTAAGCGTCCGTGATGAAGATTTTTGGTCTTCAGTTCACTTTCAGGAAAAGCTTCCATAACCTTGGTGTCATATTTGAGTCACAGTTAAGTAGTTTTGTAAAAGCCAATTAAGGACGGTAATGTTTAGTTACCCAATAGTGATGTGGCCATTGTCTTCCCTTCTAAGGCCTCAGAGAACAAGATGCTCACCCACTTAGACACTTGATGTCCACTGCTGCTTTCTCTTCTGACTGGTGACTAGAGTATTAAAGAAAATTAGCCCACACTACGATTAGTCCCAGGAATCTTAGTATTTTGGAGACCAGATCATTTTTATTTCCTATCAGAAAACATTAGAAATGAAAAATAGGACAAACAAAAAAACACCTGGCTGAAGACCTAGTCTCATAGTCTCATATTAGTCATTTATTTGAAATGTTGGTCTGAAAATTGCTGTTTCAACAATTCCCACTTTGTAAACATTTAAGATTATTTGAATCCCACAATTGATGTACATTGAGCTTTCTAGGAAAAGCTCATTTTTATTAATGCTACTATACTGTATGATGGTTTGGTAACGGCTTAATTTATATTCTATTTTGTTCTGACAATTTTTTCTGACAGGGATTTAAGTTTCTGCCACTATTTTTAAAAGCAAATAATTATTATTTCATTTATTTAACAAGTACCTATTTTTAAATATGATTAATAGCACTGTAAAACATCTTTTAAATTTAGTTTCCTGTATTAATACAATTGGCTTGTTTTTAATTTTTAAATTATTCTTGTATTTTATTATTTTTATTTTATGCATCTGAGTGTATTGCCTGCATGTATGTGAGTGCACCTGTGTCGTGCAATGCTGTGGAGGTCATCAAAGGGCATCGGATTCCCCTGGAACTGGAGTTAAGGATGGTTCGTAGCTGCCATGTGGATGCTGGGAATTGAACCTGGTTCCTCTGCAAGAGCAGTCAGTGCTCTTAATTGCTGAGCCATCTCTCTAACACTTACATTTGATTTGTTTTTAAAAAAGTTAATTTACCTCTTTAGCAAATTGCTTAAACTATCAAATCATCTAACCAACTCTTAAATATTTATAATCAGTGAAGAACTACCTACAAAAAGACAGTTTTTAGCAGTTTGTTAGAATAATTTTTATTTATGAATTGATATTTATTTAAACCAAATAAAACCTTAGTTTGTCATTTTGCTTTTAACCAGTTCTTCAGTGAAGGTTGCTCACAGACTTGGATTGCTATGTTCAGAGTCAAGAAAGAATGTTCTGCAAAGTGAAACTTTACCTTGAAGCACAATTGACAGCTATTGAAAATATTAAAAGAGACTTTTCAAACTTCTTTTTGAAGTAAACACTTTTAAATTAAATAAAACATGCCTACAAAATAGTGCTAATAAGGGAATAGCTCATTGAGTCTTCACAAAGTTAGAATTAACTACTAACGTAGCCATGTCATACACAGCCCCCAGGTCAAGAAATAGAACATTGCCAGTGCTTAGCAGTTCTGTGTGTGGTCCCTTTTAATTACTAGCCCCTTGTCTTACTCCCAGAGATGATTCTGACTTTTAACACTGTGTATTACTTTTGCTTCAAAGAGACACATTGTATAGTTTTCCTTTTTTCTGTTTGGAAATGTCTGCAGTCTTCCATGTTATAGAATTAATTTTATTTTGAATGAGACTAGCAATATTCACAATCACTCATTAAATATATTTGGTAATTTATAGACGTTATTTTGGTAATTAGCATAAAATATAACAGGGAAAACTTTCTTTTAGTCATGGTATTTTCTATACGGTGATAAGGAAAGGGCAGTAGATTATTAGATATGTTTTATGTTTTACTTTTCTAATTAGATAAGTAAATAAGATAAAAGGAAAAAAGCAGTCAATCTTTTAAGTTTTTCTGCTCAAGAAATTTCGTTGTTTTAAAAATAATTTTAAGGTGGGCATGGTGATATACCCAGTACTTGGGAGGCAGAAGCAGGCAGATCTTTGTGAGTTTGAAGCCAGCATGGTCTACATAGTGAGTTCCAGGACACCTGGAGCTACAAGGAGCCCCTGTCTCAAAAAAGACAAAAAAAGGATAAAATAATAATAATTTTAAAATAATTAAATGTAAGACACTATGACTTACACCTGTAAATCCAACACTTAGGCTGAGGCAGTAAGATTGCCTGAGTTCCAGGCAGCCTGGGTTTGAAGAACAAACAAACAAAAATGAATGTACACATTTCCTTATCAGAAATTTGATACAAGCAAATGAGACAAGTTGTGAAGTCTGTAAGAGTTCTTGAATTTTTGTTTTCCCTCCCCTGTAGTGGAAGCACTGACATTTCCTCCTTCTTCTGGGAAATCATTTATCATGGGAGCAGATGAAGCCCTGGAAAGTGAACTGGGCCTTGGAGAATTAGCAGGCCTTACAGTGGCCAATGAAGCAGATTCACTAGCTTATGATGTAAGTAGTACTTGCAGTTTTGAAAACATTACTTTGTGTTTGAAATTTAATAGTCGATTTATAGGAAAAAAAAAATGGAGCCAGGCGTGGTGGTGCATGCCTTTAATCCCAGCACTTGGGAGGCAGAGGTAGGTGGATCTTTGTGAGTTCAAGGCCAGCCTGGTCTACATAGCGAGTTCCAGGCCCCCTGGGGCTACAGGGAGACCCTGTCTCAAAAAGACAAAAAAAAAAAAAAAAAAAAAAAAAAAAAAAAAAAGGCAGAGATAAAACTTCGTTCAAAGATAAATTTAAAGGTGAGCTAACATTTTCTAAATAACCTGGATGTTAAAATTATAGGCTTAGCTTAAATCTATAGGTCAGTGTAGTATGACATTGATTGGTCTTAGATAGGGGAAAGAATTCTTTATTCCATTGCTTTGAACTTCGTTTTCTGTTTTAGGTTCCCATGATAAGTTGAAATTAATGTCTTACATCAGCACTGTCTTACCTCTTTACTGCATTTTCCAGTGTCCTTTTGAGAAGGGATTTTAATTCTCGGTAGGCATAGATGCATGACTCTGCCTACAATGGCAGCTAATAGGACTTTCTAGATGTTAAAGCTAGCTTATCAGTGATTTGAACCAAAGCTGAAATTTCTGTTCCATGGTGCAAGCATTTGCTTAATTTTAAACTCACTTGTTTTATAAATGCTTTATAATTGCTCATCACAGTGACTTTTCAGAAGAATAATTATAAGTACTTGTAACCTGCCTACTTTTTCTTTTTGTTAAAATTTTCTTATATTGATAGTTACTGTAACCCACTCCTCTTCCTACAAATCAGAAACTCCAATTCTCTTTACAAATTTCATTAGTAAACTTTTGGGATTATTTCAACAATAGCTAAAGTCCATATATTTTTTCACTACCCATCCTAGTTCATTTTCTTCTCACCCAATTCTAGTTATGGTAATAATCCCTATAATCTCTGTTATGTAAACAGCATTTCTCTTTCCAATGTTTTTGTAACCTTTTATTTTTTGTCTTTTTAAAGCACTGTTAGTTGATTTTTTCTTTTTTCATCTAATTCTTTTAATTGGCGTATTCGGTCTATTTCTTCTCCAAGTACAGGAAGGTGTGCGGTAGGGTCTCCCCAAATTGCCCTGGCTAGTATAGAACTTCGTTTGTAGACAAGGCTAGCCTTGAACTCACAGTGCACCTCCTTTGCCTCCCAAGTGCCTGGATAGTAGGTTTGCAGCATCAAGTTCAGTCAGTGTGTTTGGGGGGAAGGTTGTGAATGCGTATGTGTATGTTTATGTGTTGATGTTCATGTATGTATGTGCCTAGATATGTGTGCACATACATGTGGAGGCCAGAGGTGGTTGTCAGGTATCTTACTCTATTGCTCTGTACCTTTTTTAAAGATAGGACCCCTCGTTGAACCTAAAGCTCACTGATTTGGCAAGGCTAGCTGGCTCTCTGAGCTCCAGGGATCCCCCGTCTCCTTCCCAGAGCTGAGATTTCAGGTGTATGCCACCAAACCTGGCTTTTGATGTGGATCTAAACTCAGATTCTCATGCTTGAAACATGTGTGCTTCACTGGCTGGGCCATCTCACCAGCTCCTCTTCTTAAAAATACTTTTATTTGGGGCTGGAGAGATGGCTCAGCGGTTAAGAACACTGGTTGTTCTTGCAGAAGACCCAGGTTCTAATCCCAGCACCACATTGCAGCTAACAACTGCCCATAACTCCAGTCCCAGGGGATCTGACAACCTCTTCTGACCTCCGCAGGCATTGCACGACACGGGTGCACTTACCTACATGCAGGCAATACATGCATACACATAAAATAAAAGCAAATACAATTTTTTTAAAAAGTTAAAAAAAAACTTATTTTGGGTCTGGAGAGATGACTGAGCAGTTAAGAGCACTAACTTTTGATGTGGATCTAAACTCAGATTCTCATACTAGAAACTTGTGTATGGGCCATCTCACCACCTTCTGCTCTTTTTTTCTTTCCTTTTCTTAAAAATACTTTTATTCTGGGGCTGGAGGGATGACTGAGTGTTAAGAGCACTAACTGTTCTTTGCAGAGGACCCAGGTTCGATTCCCAGCCACCCACATGGTGGCTAACAGCTGTCTGTAATTACAGTTCTAGGGAATCTGATGCCTTCTTCTGACCTTCATGGGTATTGCACAGCACAGGTGCACCTACCTACTTGTAGACAACACTCATACACATAAACAATAAATAATGTTTTAAAAATATTTTTATTCTTTGAAAATTTCATACATTTGTGCAATGTATTTGCTCATATCTCTCATCACTACCTCCCTTCAGCTCCCACTACTGCCCACCACCCCATCTCCCTCCCACCATCTTGTCCTTTTTGTTGTTGTTATTAATAACTAACTCCCCGAGTCCAATTAGTGCTGCCCATATGTGCATCATCATGTTCAGTCAGTGTGTTTGGCAGGGGGTGCTATGGGACCATTCACTAGGGCATGAGCAACCTACCATTAGCCATGTCTCCAAAGGAGAGTAAATTTCCCACCTTCCGCAGCCATCAACTGCCAGTAGCTGCTCTCTCAAGAGTAGAACCTTGAAACCCTTTTCTTTTTTGGTTTTTCTTGTTTTTTTTTTTTTTTTTTTTTTAAATTGAGAATCTGACTATGTAGCTTTGGCTAGCCTGGAACTCACTATGTAGAACAAGTTGGCCTCGATCTCACAGAGATCCTCCTGCCTATGCCTCCTGAGTTCTGGGATTAAAGGCATGAACCACCTTGCCCAGCTCTTTTCTTTGTTAAAGCAACAACTGATGTATTTAGTTTTAAGTCTACCATCTATTTGTACCATTTGTCTCCCTTTCCTCCTTCCTATTCTTGCCTATTTGGGGATTACTTCTTGTTATTCAAGCTGCTCCTCCTCTATTATTTGGAATTTACACATTCTTTGGTAGTCTTTTAATGGCTACCCTAAAGAGTACCACAAAATTGTTATCAAATTGATACATAAAACCCTTAGAACATTTGTGTCTTTAACCTCATCCTACTTATATGTCATTTTTCTTGTGTTTATAAGTATTTTTTCAATGTATCATTGTTTTTTATATTGTTAGTATTATCTATTTTGTTTTATATTATTCTTTACACATTTTTCTGTTTTTCATTCTTTTTTTCATACCTGTCTACTTTGGAATGGAATCACCCTAAGAATGCTTAAAATATCTCTTTAAAAAAATTTTTTTTAAATATCTTTAATGAAAGGCTAATAGTACTTAATTCTCTCACTTTCTGATTTTCTTAAATTTTTTATTTAGCTTGTATAGTACTGAATTCTAGATGATAGAAGTTTCTCTTTTCTATTCTGAACATTTTTATCGGGTCATCTTTTTTTTCAATTCTCTGTTACTAAAGGTACCAATATAATTTTTCTTGTTGACCATTACATGGTACTTTGATTTTTTTCTCTGATTTATGTCTTTGTTGTTAGACAAAATTTGATTTTGTTTTCTTTTTTAATTTAATATCTTGTTCTTAGAGCTTTATGGCTTCATATGTTTTTGCTACTTTTGTAAATCTCTCAGCACTTTCTCCTCAAATACTATTTTTGGTTCCCTCCCCTTCTTCCTCTCTCTCTCTTTCTACCCTTTCTTCCCTCCTTTTGTTCTGCTTTCTGTTAACTTAGTTTTGTATGTGGTAGACTGTCTTCCTGTGATTTATGTCTCACTCTTTGATCCTCTTCCCTTGACTTATCTCTCAGTTTACTGGGTTTCTCTTCAGCTAGTGTGGCTAATAGCTTCGCCTACCTACTGAAGGGACTGGAGATGTAGCTGTGTGGTAGGACACTTGCCTAGCATGCTGGGGACCTAGGTGCAATCTTTAGCACATAAGTGAAAGTAAAAAATCAGAAATCTGCCTTTTGAGGTCTTGTAAATATTGCTTTTGGAATCATTCACTTAACTAATTCCATTATTTACAAATTTCTTCTAAATTTGTCAATCTTTTATATTATTTTTTAAATATTTTATTTTTGTGTGTATGTTTGCCTGCATGTATCTTAAGTGCACCCATGTTGTGCAGTGCTTGCAGAGATCAGAAGAGGCCATTAGATTCCCTAAAACTGGAGTTATGGGCAGTTGTTAGCTGCCATTTGGGTGCTAGGAACTGGACCCAAGTCCTCTGAAAGAGCAGCCAGTGCTCTTAACCACTGAGCCATTTCTCCAGCCCCCAATCTTTTTTTTTTAACTGTTTATCTATTTATAGTTTAAGTGTTATGTCTGTGTGTATGTAAGTACACCCTTGTTGTACAGTGCCCTCAGAGGTCAGAAGAGGGCATCAGAGCTCCTGGAACTGGAGTTGTGGATGGTTGTTAGTCACCATGTGGGTGCTGGGATTTGAACCCCAGTCTTCTGCAAGAACAGCCA